CAAAGGAAAAACACCGTTGTTTAAGTAAATAAATTGTGGAAGCAGTTAGCTACCATATCTCACACTCCTGCTAACCTCCTTAGCAGGCCTGGCCCTAAGGCAAAGCGAGCCAGGCAAATGCCTTGAGCCCCATGCTTTTGGGGCCCCCGCGCTGCTGAGTTTTCACTATCCACTGGCCAGGCCTGGGACCCCGCTTCCAGCATCCTGCCTTGGGCCCCGCAAACCCTTTGGCCAGGCCTGCTCCTCACAATGCAATGCACAATGCTGGATTTAAAACTGATGCGGAGGGGTACTTTAGCATATGCTTCAAATAAAGAATTTGCTTAAATGTGTTTCTGAAGTGAGATGCTTTCCTGAATTGGTGTCTGTGCTTGCAGTGTACATGTGCAATAATAGATATAACATGTTCCTACTATAGATTTTGGCTCTGTCTAAATATAGATCTATAGAGGCTTATATGTATTTGTTACATTTATAGGAATGTTATTGTATATTTAATAGATATAAATTAGATATATAATAGGATCCTAGTAGCTAAAAGCCATCTAATTTGTGAAGTTGTAACCCATGCACCTCCTGAATGTGGTGTACAGTCCCATCGAGTGGCATTGAGACCACTTGCAGAGAGAATAAGTCTGCTCTACAGCAGGGCGACTCAACAGGTGGCCCGCGGGCCACACGCAACCCATCTGTTTGTGGCCTGCAGTGCGGTTTGGGTTTATGTGGGGCTCAACACGTGGCCCTCAGGTGAGATCCTTTGAATATGGCCTCCACAAGGAACGCACTCCACAACGGCCAGTCAATATAATGGTCTTCCATTGATATGCATTTTAGTAGTTAAATTCCTGGACTATCATTGCTCATTAAGGGAAAGTCTACACTACAACGCTATTTGGAAATAACTAGCTCCGTGCCGAAATAACTTAGTCCGTGTCTGTGTAACCCACACACCTAGTGTGACTCACTATCCCATCTGGTGGCACCTAGACCACAGCAACAGATGAGAACAAGAGACCTCTACATCAGCAGCTGAGAGCCAGCTGGCTTTTAGCTCAAAGGGTAGAGGCTCCTAAGCTCCAGAGGTCCCAGGTTCAAATCCACCTGGAGGCATTCCATCTGCAGTTATTTCAAAATAGTGTCAAAATACTGTCAAGCTGGAGGACTTCTTACTCCGACTCCTGTAACCCTCATTTTACAAGGAGTAAGGGAAGTCAGAGGAAGAGTGGTCTGTTTCGAAATAAGTGCTGTGTAGACGCTCCCTATTTCAAAATAAGCTACACAATTGATGTAGCTCAATTTGCGTAGCTTATTTCAAGTTAGCCCTGCAATGTAGACGCACCTTAAAAGTGCTGTCATATGGGTGGAATTCAGGTAAATACTGCATTTTATAAATATCAGCAGAACTGACTTAAATGGGGCCTGCATGTTGTGTAGTCTTGCCTTAATCTTTGCATTCATGCCTGTCAGTGTGAATGAAGCTATTTGCATATATTTGCATGTATATTTGCATGTATATGCAACCACACTTAAGTTGCAGCCCTCGGCATGTGCTGTGAGTATCATTGTGGCCCCCAGGGCTTCCAAAGTTGAGTAGCCCTGATCTACAGTCTTAGCTAATAGCCAGTTGGCTTTTAGCTCATGTTGTAGAGTAGTGATAGGCAACCTAGGCTGGTGAGTGGGCTACCTGAGGGGACCTCCTTCATCTCAGTGGGCTGCAAGATTGCAGTCAGGCACGTGCACTAACCATAACCCCAAGAATAAGATTAAATACATTGCACTTGATTCTCCTTCTTTATTGTGCCTTTTTTGACACCTTGAAGGCTTTTAGCTCAAAGGAGGCATAAGGGATCTGTCGAAAAAGGCTTTCTTTCTCGACAGATCTCCCTCTAGACTGCCTCTTTTTGCAGACAAAGTACTGAGTCGCCAAAAATGGTGGCCATTTTTATTCAAATTAAGCGCGGGATATTTAAATCCCCGCTTCATTTGCAATGACGACCTGCCTAATCTGCATCCCTCTGCCGACAGAGGGATGCAGTCTAGACATACCCCAAGTGGTCCATTATGAGTAGCAAATTTAAATCGCCAGCAAAAGTAGCAGAGAGAGCACACAGCTCTCGCGGTGTTGTGTGAAATCAGCATGCACCTCACCAGTGCTTGCTTTTGTTTGTGTGACTTTTCTCCTTTTGACTTTCCCCTCTAGTGCCCCCATTCCTCCCCTTCCCTTAAACCCACACCCAGCCTCTTCCCTGCCTCCTCCCCAGAGTGTCCCCTATTCCTTCTCCTCTTCCCTCTCTCTCCTGGCATTTCTGGGATGCAATGAATCGGCTGATTTGCACCCCATTCCCACTCCTTCCCCACCCGCCCAGAGCTTGAATGCTCTGTCTGTAAAATGCCTACAAGTCTACTGGTATTTTCTCATTGTGTGTTTATACGTGGATGCCAATATATATATGAAAAAGAAATAGTGTCAGAGTTCTGCTAATATGCAGGCCCTTATCAAACTCTGCATAATTCTGCAACAACTGTTGATATTTCAGGTAGGACATATTGGACTCTAGAGTGATGGTCACTTTCTATGAGTAACCACATCCGCACACGCTTTAAATATGACTGGACTGATATCACAGTTTATTTAATATCTGCTCAGCCTGATATAATACACCAGCCTGCTCAGGTTGCTAACAATCCTAGTTTGGGAGCCAGGGGATGGAGGGTTTGCCTTGGGAGGAAGTAGGAGGAATAGCTGGATCTGGCTTCAGAGCCTGCCCAGTCTGCTGTGTTCTGCTCAAGTTTCTCGGACATGCATTTTTAAGAGAATTTTCTTACCAATGTACAAATATTTGGGCCTGATCCTGTCCCTTCTCTGCTAGCAATTGTAGCCAAATGGGAATTCTGCATGCAGACCTGCTCATTTCATTTTAGCTTGCCCTGATGCTATGCAGATGACCTTGCTAAGGAGGAAACTCAGGGCCTCCATTGCATGAGTTGCTGGGGAATGAGTGCTTTGCCAGCGGGATGTGTACAACTCATAAGGAGCACAAGCCTGGAAGCAGACTGTTCCTTTCAAGTATCAAGGAGCAATATTAACTCTGAGCCTAGGAGAACCTGCTCTAGGAGGCTCGAAGAGTCTTACTGATAAGATAGTTTGCATGGAAGGAATTTTCCTAGAGATTATGGTCCTGCCATGGTATTTGGTGGAGGGGTGAAGAAAAATAAGTGACCAAAATATATTTCTCAGCTTCTGCTTCAGAGCAGCGGCAGGAGCCACGACCTTATCAAGGTGTCCGTGTCAAAGAGCCGGTGAAGGAGCTACTGAAGAGGAAACGTGGGAACATCCATAGTGCTAATGCAGCTGCAGCGACCACGGTAAGAAAAAGCCACAGAATGCACAAGGAAAGCACTTTCTTTTTTTGACTGAATAGGCATTCAGCCCTTGTCTCCATATTGTGCTCCCCTTGATTTGAATAGACTTTTAATTATTTTAATGCAGGTTCAAGCCCTTAGACGGGAACAAAGGGGGCCGAGAAGTTAAGTGATGTGCTCAAGGCCACCAGGGAGTTCAGTGTCAGAACCAGGACTCACGCTCTGTAGAGTGGTTCCCAGTGCGGTGCTTAGATCACTTATGTCTCTCATTCTTCTTTATCAAGACAGCCAGTTATACTAGCGTAATCAGCTTATTCAAGACATTGGCATTTGGGCACCTATCTCCTTTAGGATCCTTTGAAAACCCCATCTTAAAATGTGATAGGATTCAAGATAGTTGCCTTATGCAAATGTACTTTGTATCATCTGAGACACAGAAATATCTAGTGTTTAAAAAACTACTAAAACCTTGAGGAGCGATTTCCCCAAGGAGATTAATGTCCTATTTTGTGATGTGCTGAAAACTCTTTGTTATATAGGTGACCTGTCATATATACTGTACCAAATAATACATGCAATACAACCTTAAAAGCTACCAGAGCAGACCAGAATAACGCTGGCCCTCCACTTGCTAAATCAGTGTGCCTTAAAGTGGTCCATAGACCCACTCTGAGAAAGCTGCTACCAGGCTGCTCCAGTTTACTTACTGTCTCTGCAGCCATGGAGCCTCATGACTCCCATTGGCTGCAGTTCACCGTTTGCAGCCAATGGGAGCTGCGAGGCTCCGTTGCTGCAGAGCCGGTAAGTAAACAAACCGGAGAGGCCTGGTAGCAGCTTTCTCAGAGTGGGTCTAAAGACCACTTTGAGAAACACGGTCCTAATCTTATCCTAGGTTCCTTTATTCTGGTATTTAAACTCCTGGAGGGAAGCAGTTTGACTGTATCTTCACTGACACTGAAATTCACCCTGTGGAACCACAGAAAGTCTCGTGTATCTTTTAAATGACACTCAAGCATCTATGGAGCCTGGTTCTTGTGCTGACCCACTGCGGAAAGGTGTATTTTACCCTGAAACAGTTTTCAATAATTGCTGTCATACCCATATAACAAGGCACACGGTACCTTCAACCAAGCAAAGTCTTAAGATGCAATGGACGATGTGTTTATTACTACTTCAGTCTCAGCAAGAGTTTCCCAGAATATGCTGAATTCAAATCTTTCATGAATAACTGATATCTGAATATTTTTCTTTGTCCTCCAGGTTGTTTTGCCCCATCAGCCACTTCCGTCCTATTCACCAATTGGTAATGCTTCTCAATATTTATTTTCATTTGTTCATCAGCTCGGTTTAAGCCAATGTTTTGGCTGACATTGTGGTACAATTCTCTTCTTATTTTGCAGGCCAGCCTTGCATTGATATGGACATTGCTGCCTCTTCATTGCCACTCACTGATGAAGGAGCTTTGTGTTCTGGTTGGCTCTCTCAGCCTTCTCCTGCTACCCTACAGCCCTTAACACAGTGGACAACGTACCCAGATTATATGTCACATGAAGCAGTCAGCTGTCCGTACACAGCAGACATGTATGTTCAGCCAATGTGTCCAAGTTATACACTTGTTGGACCCTCTTCGGTTCTGACTTATGCATCCCAGCCGCTGATCACCAATTTTGCGGTAAGCTAAAGATACCTAGAAACAAAGGCAAAACTGCTTTCCAAAAGTAACTGTGAGAATCCTCAGGAAAGCTTATGCTCAACTAAAACTGTTAGTCTTTAAGGTGCCACAGGACTCCTCATTGTTTTTGCATTATACTTTATATCGCTTGACATCCCTGCTTCATGTTATATTGCCAAGGATGATGTCAGTAAAAAGTTATACAAGTGCTGAAAAATCAGAAGTAGTTCCCTCTACCATAATTTCATATTCAAGGAAAACAGAACCGAGAAGTGAGATTGAGTAGAGAAACATGCTTTAGGCTATGTCTTCACTTCCCGGAAGATCGATGCTGTGGCGGTTAATCTTCCAGGATTTGATTTAGTGGGTCTAGTAAAGACCCACTAAATCAAATGCTGAGGGCACTCCCATTGATGCTGGAACTCCTGCTCTTTGCAAAGAGTAAGGGAAGTTGATGAGACTGTTTCTCCCATCAACCTTCCACTGTGAGGATGGCACTGAAGCTTCATTCAAGGTACGTCAACTCCAGCTATGTTTTTTACGTAGCTGGAATTGCATACCTTAAGGTGACCTTTCACTGTAATGTGCACCTGGACTTAGTGACCTTCCCTATAATGGTCATGCAACTGTCTCTTCTTGGTGTGAGTCTCTCATTTGGTTTCTTTATGAGCTACAAATTCTCGTCTAACCTGGACAGGATTGATTCCTCATAACCCGTCTAATGTGATGTCCTGATTTACTCTTTGCCTGGACTTGGAAATTAGGGAGACTCTTCTGAGAATCATTGTGGTTTGAGAGGGATTAAAAAATTTGACTATATTGACATCGGAGTGAATCCAGTTTTCTTAACAAAGCTTGCCTTTGCCAAGCTCTCTCATGCCCTCCTGCACTCACTGCCTAATTAACTTGTCAACCATTCTGCATTGTTCTCAAGATACCCCCTCCAACTCTCACTGAAGCCAGTAGTAAGACTGCTATAGATTTCGGAGAGAGCTGGACCAAGCCAGTTGGCAGATTTTACCGTAGGAGAATATTTGCAGCTCAGGAAAAATTATGCAGAGCACGAAAGTCATGTTACCATTCGCTCCTACTTAACAAGGAATCTTATAGCTTCAATGCATGGTGCTCACGAAGTTTCAATTACAGTGGATCATACATTAAAATATTCTGTCTGGATGCACAGATATCAGATATCGCCTATGCAATAGACCAGGGGTGGCCAACCCATTACAGACAAAAAGCTAAAATAGTTGTGGATAAAGTGCAAAGATCCAAGGGAAATAAGTTGTTGAGCAAAAAAAAAACCAAAAAACCACAGCCTCTTTAAGAGCCACGTTTGGCCCACACAGGCTTCCACTGGCCCCAGCATCAGATCTTGCTGCCCCAAGCGGTGCCCTGACCAGACAAGGAAAAAAGGTCAAAGCAGGGGAACACAGAACAGCCACGGGAGTGGGAGCTGAGCCAGGGGTGCGGGAGCCACAAGTTTTCCTTTGAAGAGCCGCATGCGGCTCACAAGCTGTAGGTTGGCCACTCCTGCAATAGTCTCTGTCATTTGAACAACCCGCTAGGACAGATTCTCCCCTTGAGAGTCTGGACAGAGTCTTTCAGCTGCTGTTTCCTCTGTTTATTTCAACATAGTTTTTCCAGTAAGGGTATGGAGGTTTTTTGTTTCTTTGCTTTGCTTTGTTTTGTTTTTACATAAAGGCCTCCAGGGAACTTGCTTCCACTGGGGAAATCTTATGGTGTTTAAACGTGACCTTGACTTAGCTGACATGACACTGACCATGAGTCAGTGTAAAAAAGGACATGTTCAGCATCACATCAGCTTACCTGGCACATTCCAGTCATGAGGAAATACCATCAGAGACCCACAGTTGAGGGTAGCAGATCAAAAACACAATTCATAATCATCTTGAAAGGACGACTTGGATGCTTACGAAAGGGAAGGGAGGCTGGAAAGGTAATTGGAATGTGGCATGTACAAGTACATTTACCAGGTGAAAAACTTTTGAGATTGCGCTGGCTGGCAGCTGGGGTTTTAACCGAGTTGCATCCCCTCTTTCTGGTGAGCTTGTGAAAGTTTCCATACTGAACTAGAAACTTTACGGGGCCAGGAAAAGGGGTTTTATCTGTGACTGCAAGTGTCCTGATTCTGGTATCTTTGTACTTAACAGCCAAGAAGCACCACTCCAGCTGTCATGCCACAGCTGGAGGCGACAGACCAGCAAGCCCCTCTTACCTACTTTCCATGGGCTCAGCCTATTTCTGCATTACCAGCATCTACCCTGCAGTACCAGCCAGCTTCCACCTCCCTCCCTGGGCCACAGTTCGTCCCACTTCCCATTTCAATTCCAGAGCCAGCCCCACAGGAACTGGAGGATGCTCGGAGAGTGATCAGCACTGTGCCCATTGAAAAGCTACTTCTAGAAGATGAAGACAATGATACGTATGTTTTAAATCACACTCTCTCTGTTGAAGGGCTTTAAAGTCATGTATATGGGGCCCGATACTACATTTCTTGTTCACCCAGACCTCTAGGCAAAATCAATGAGTTTTGAGTGTCCAAGAGAAAACAGATCTGGGCTATTTATTTTCTTCTTAAGATTTTTTTTTTTTTTTGGTCATCCACCACTAATGGTCCCTGAATGTGAGATTTGCACTCTGGGTGAAGTGTACCTGTGTGCACAGGACTAGCATAAGACTCACATGCTGCTAAAGTTGCTTTTAGTTCTTCCTAGTAGAAACTTTGCAGCGCATTGTTCTTGTGCTGGCCTTTTGGAAGGAATGAATTTCACCTTCCGATATGGGCTGAAACTGACATGGATTTTTTAGTAACATTTGCTAACTCCTTTGTGTCTGACTATAGCATTTGGTACGGTTACACATATCATAAGGATGTCTTAGAGGGTTTACATTGCAAGCCATATTTTCTAGAGCTCTGTATATCTGTGTCACAGATATATCTTTGCTTTGTTCAGTTAAAGGAAACTACCCCAGTACATCTTCTTGAACACGGCCACCTAAAATGTGGAGCCTTGAATGAGATGGCCCTTTAATTGGTAATATCATTGAAAAATGTCATTGTATGATTATGAATATGTTTGCTCTGGTGGTGGCACCTATTTGTAGCCAGTCTGAAAGCCAATAATGTAAACAGAACAGGTGAGATATGTACAAGTGTGAAAATAGGCCATCAGCAATGTTCCCCATAAGATGAGCATATGGGCGGCCACCCTGGAGAAATTCCAATGCCTCCCAGCTGATTAGCAGAGATCCCACAGCAGCCCAAAGCTGGCAGCAGGTGTTTCTACCGGTGGTGCACATCTGTATATGCCTTGGTGCACATGCCAAAATTTTGTTCTGCACATGGATAGAAAAAATTAGAGGGAACATTGGCCATCTGCCACAGAGGAACACAATATTATTTAGGCAAAGAATTGTACTGTTGCGTCTTAATTTCATTTGACTTATTCTTGCGAAATTGACAGACTGGTCTTCATGCAGAGCTCTTACTGCATGTGGGAGGGGTAATTGGATTGAGGCGTTTTCTGCAGTCAGTATGTGAAATGTTCCCTTTTAAAACTGGTAAAGTTGTATTTTATGGCTTCTCCATGATATTGTGTGTTGCACTACGAGACAGAACCTAGTCCCAACGGGATTACAAGATATGGGCCTCAGTCAGGATATCAATGAGAAGACTGGGCCTTCCAAAATTAGGATGAGTGTCTGTCAATATGGGCACTGCTGTATTCAGTCTCTTGTTCTTGAGCCTTAGCAAATAGTTCAGTTGACAATGATGATAAACAATCCTAAAATGGGAGAGAGTCCATGTGAAATAGGAGACCTGTAACGTACCTTATTAACATTGAAAGTTTCTCTGTATTTCAGTGGTTTAGAGTCACAGCTGTACACAGCATCATTATTGCCTTTTGTTTATATTTATTGGAAATTGAATAGCATATACTGCCCTTTCTAAACAATTGTAAATATCACTGTTGATGTTCCATGGCATCTTGCCACAGCCAAAGGTATTCGTGGGAAGATGTATCCATTTTTAACATTTTGTTAATTGTTTCCTTAATAAACAAGGAACTCCTAGACGATGAACACAATTTCTCTGGGTTTTTCTGCTTCATAAAGCCCAGGAACCTTAGATGATAATAGAATTTAGAAGTGTTTTTGGAATTAAGGTATTCAAAGGGTTGTTACCTTACATCAGTTAGAGAATTGGTGCCCGCTACTCCTTCTTCTATCCAGGCTATATTCCAAATAATTTTACAATTTGTGCCTGGGTAAGGACTGCAAAATTGGGTCCAATGTCTATAAGACTTTCAAAGCAGGTTTCACTATTGACACATCTAAAGACTTAAACAAGAGACCATGCAAATGGTCATAAAGTTATCCAAAAAATGCAGAAGCTTTAGGCTTACTGATCTTGGTGGCTTAGATTTGCAGAAAAACCCAGCAAAGAAATTAATTAGCTAAGGCTTGATCTGCCACTGTGTTACTCCAGTTGCAATAGTGTGACCTCTGCAGAACACTGGGGTGATGCAGTTGTGAATCAGGTCTTTGGTGGCCAGCATTTATTTGGAACTTTTTTTCATTTCACTGTATGTAAAAAAATCTCCTGGTTGTATATAAAGTGATGATGTATTGTCTTGAATTTCTTTCTGGGTTGTTCTGTTAGATTAAAACACATTTTCAATAAAGATCTGCAGTAACTTTCATACGACTAGACTGGTTTTTTTTTCATGCTCAGAGAGGTACTCCATGGCATTTGACACAATATAAATATAGTGGCTTGGAAATCAATAATGTTAATTTGATAGGATGCTTGCAAGACTACATCCAGAAATTAATTACATGGCTTTGTGTTGATTAACTGTATGCTAAAAGAGACTCCCATGAGCCAAATATGGGTTCAAAACCTTCCTCTCTCAAGTAATTCTTACTTATGCAACTGCTCCTGCAGTTGGGTAGTTCTTTATTTGTGCTAAAGTAGGGTCTAACTGAGAGTGATGACACATTATGCCAAACATTACACCTGCACATAGCAGGAGACAACCCCTGACCTGAGCAGCTTTCAGTCTGCATAGACAAGACAAGGTGACTTGTCCAAGGTTGCAGACTAAGCCAGTGGCAGAGCCAGGAATAGAGCTGAGATCTCCTGACTCCCAGCCCAGTGCCCTATCTACTAGATCACATCACTTCTCAATAAAAGTAACAAAGACATCTATGACGATGATCAATGCACCAAATTCTCTGCTGGTGTAAAAGGCTGCCATCCCAGAAGTCAGTGGAGCTGTGCTCACTTATATCAGCGGAGAATGTGGGCCTATATATTTGCATGTGCGTCAGATGCTGGTTTCTGTGATTGTTTCCACAGCTGTGCATCTGCATTTTCAGAAAGCAGATGCAGTTAGTTCATTCCTTTGGCCGAGCTAACAGGACCTCTAACCCATATGGGCGTTATGACTGTTAATTAATGTGTCAGCACCTTTTAATATATTTTTTTTCTTGAGGTCCGGGGGGTGATCCACTTGCTTCAGTTCATGAGTTGCCTCCCAGGGCCCACAAAGCTTCAGTCTATGCACATTTGTCCTTCTTTTGGCCCAAACAATCTAGACTAAAGGCAGGGTAAGAGGACTGCAGGAACTACTGAAGCTGACTGCAAATCCGACGATGACCCTAAGGCATCTTGTTAGTCTTTAAAGTGTTGCATAGTCCTGTCTTTTGTTGCAGTAAATGTGTGGCAGTTATGCTGGAGAGAACAGAGTCGCCTCAGCAAACAAGCATTTGTCCATCAACATATTCTTCTCAATGAAAAATGTAGAACAATATTTCATAAGAAGAAGGAGGCCCAGCTAACTGACGTCACAGCGCTAATACAGACAGGGCCAAATCCTCTCCCCTCTCCCCAACCTGATACAGAACCTCAAAGCTGCGGCTCAACTAGTGCATCGGTCTGTGCTAGCCTGCTTCAGAGGGGAGTTTCATCCAGTCTGCAGAATAATTGCAGCCTAAGTGTAGCATTTCCCCCACCATCAGCGACGTCTGCTCCAACGAGCCCTGATCTCTAAGGAATATGGCTGTTGTTTTGTACATTGATTGTACTGTGGATTTAATAGAATCAGCACAACACCCTTTCCCTCTTTCCTTCAAGCCACTTGCTTTGAAAAACATGTAGAGCCACGTTGACAAGAAATTCTGGATTTATCCATGAGATGAAATAATTTAAAAAAAGCTCTTTGTTACTCTGCATTCACTGCATACGATGTAATATTGAATTACTACGTGTAACACTGAGGTTCCATTACATAGGACTTAAGTACTGCACAGGGGTGAATCTTGGTCCCAGTCGAATGCATTCATCTGAAAGAGAGCCAGTAAGCATTTAGTAAAATGGCTTGCTATCGAAATCTATAGATTTAACTCATGATAGCAAGCCCTTTGCCTGTTTTCAAGATCAGATCTTTAAATGGCTTCTCGGTGCACACAATATGCCCTTACGGTAGAGTCCAGCATTCGCAGCATAAAACTACCGATCAGGTAGGGCCGTTCCGTAAAACTGTTAATCGCCAGAGTGCTTCGAGGATGGGCAATGATCAGTGTCTTTATTTACTGTCTTAGAATTCTACATATTTATGCAGCTAAAGGTATGAGGGAATATACACTGGCAGCCGCTGAGCGTATGAGAGAGCTGAGAAGACTAGATGCCAAGGAGCACAGAGGAAAGGTAATGCAGACACTGCAACCCATTAAACCCGAATAGCAGCCTTGAATTTGCCTGTGTCAGCACTAAACCTGTGCATCGTTTTAGTCCCACTGCAAAATGCATATACCATACTTGAGTCATAAACCTTGTGAACAAGGGTGAATTTCATAGTGGACAGTACAGGATTTAGTCACTGTTTCATGCAAATGCCTTATGCAAGCATGTTCCTGCCTCTTTCAGTGCTTGGATGGGAGCACGATGTTTCTCATAACACTGCCAATGGCTAGAGCTACACATAGAACCCTGAACATCTGTGGATATCTGCTTTATATCCACGGGTAAAGGCATCTGTGGATGTAGATGTGGATATCCATGGGTCATGAGTGCAGATACGGATGTGGATGCAGACACAAATTTTATATCTAGAACCCTGCAAATTTGCAGATATCTGCTTCTATCCACATTTGCGGCTATGGATGCAGATATCCACAGTTCATTCTTTGTGGATATGGATGCAGATAACTATACAAATTTTATATCCACACAGGGCTCTAGCTTTGTGTCTTTCCAACAGGAGATCTTTGGGTAACATGAGGGCTCAGTCTTCCCATGTGATCTGCATGGACCCCCTCTTCCTCTCCACAGCCATTTCTTGTTTGTTAGTTTCACTGTTGTCAGAGTCTTGTATTATATTTGTTTTGCTGCTATTTTCAGACTCCCCTGTTGGTTGCAGTAACTGCCAGGCAACCAGCCATAGTCTATGATTTGATACTGACAGGGGCTGATGTCAACGCCGTGGACGATAAAGGACAATCTGCGTTACATCTTGCAGCCACATATGGTTACCCACAAGTCATCCAGGTAGGAACAGCTGCCGTATTTTAATTGCAAGCAATATAAAAGTGCAAAGAAATCACAGTATTGGGATGGGATATGGAAAACCATGCTAATTTCAATTTTCAGGGTTTCATGATCCTGTTTGCAGGTTAAGAGGCTCTGTAGTTTAATATGTGATCTGGGTCTAGCAGCGATCAGTCTGCAAAGAGCCCAGCCTAAAGCAAGCAGGTGAGTTGTGGCTCTGTGTCTTAGGAGCAGCCTGCATTGTCTCTCTGGTTTTTGGGTCTCATGTTGTGACGATTTGGACTTTAAGTAGTAGTGTTATACTGCAACCTCCTAGAAAGAGTATTTTGTTTTTAGCCAACATCTCTGCTGTGAACACAACTGAGAGAGATGTTTCCAAAATGAACCTCTCAGGCCAGGTCCACACTACGGGGAAAGGCTGGCTTAAGGTTTGCAGTTCCAGCTTGTGATGGGGCATCTTCCTTGCACTGGCCCTTTAAGGGTTAAAACCCAGCCCTGGAAGAGGGGTGGAGCTGTGGAGCCAACAGCTGTGGCAGGTATTAGCCAATTAGAGTCCAGCTGAGGGCAGTGTAAATAAAGGCTCCTGGAGGGCAGGAGAGACACAGACTCACTGGGGAGCAGGAGGGACCTGGCTGCCAGGGAAGTTCTGGCCAGGCAAGCTCCCAGACTTCAGGGCCTGAAGCAAGGCCTGAGGCTACTAGGGCTGTAGAGAGGCAGCCAGGGTAGGCAAAGGCAGCTGGTCCACACCCCCTTGTCCATGATGAGTGGCCATTTCATACTGTTGTTTGCCCCTGTGGCAGGGGTTAGATGAAGACCGGCAGTGGGTCACTGAGACAAGGTGGGCATAAGGGGTTGCGGATTCCCAGAAGGGAAAGGCCCCAGCGTGTGGGGGCACTGTGGTAGGGCAGTACCCAGAGGGGAGGATGCCACAGCCTGGGAGGGACATGGGTCCTAACACAGAGGTGGAGGACAAAAAGTAACAGCAGATGTGACACCAGCCAAAAGGGGGTGCTCCAGAGCTGAAGAGCTTATTCCCAGAGTGACCAGCAGGAGGTGCTGGGGCAGTGAGGCCTGCCGTGTTACCCAGCTAAATAAAAAACATAGGTGGTGTCAACATACCTTAAGCTAAGCTTTGGCACTTCCCTCGCAGCAGGAGGATGATAGGAGAAATGCTCCCATCAATTTCCCTTACTCCTTAGGAGGAATAGATGTCCTGGTGCTGACAGGGGCACCCTCGGAGTTTGATTTAGTGGGTCTTTACTAGACCCGATAAATCGCATGCTGGAAGGTCAATTGCTGTAGCATTGATCTTCCCACAAATGGAGACATGTAAAAATATTCTTAGGTAAAAATCTTTTGGCTTGATTTCATTCTTTCCAGTCCCATATTAGGAGTCTTCTTCCCATTTGCCACACATATGTCAGCCCTTCATTTCAAAGGAGATGGCAGCACCATGTCACTGTCTTGCTACTCATGTTCTGGCTGCTACCTCCAAACCTATAGAGGAAATCTAGGCATATTACTGTTGTTACTGTTTGTTATTTGCACTGCAATAGTGCCAGGGCCCCCAGTCAGATGTGGGCCCCATTGTACTAACACACGGTTGGGGTCAGCTCCTGCCCTGTAGAGTTTGCAATTCCTCACGGAACAAGTGGGTGTAACAAATAGGAGGTGTCCCAGGGAGGGAGAATGTAACAATGATAGGAGCCCATTGGGTCAAATTACACTATTATTTACACAAGTGTAAATCTAGAGTAACTCTACTGAACTCAGCAGAGTTACTCCAGATACATGTCTTTTTGAATTAGAGCAGGGTTTGGCACGTGGATACATAGATGCTACATACAGCTTGCAAAATCAGCTATATTTTTAAAAATTGTAACTAAGGACAAGAGCTACTGATGTGGCTGTTCAAAGGCACAAAGAGGAGGTTGGCAGTCATGGCAGATCCTCAGCTGGTGTAAATTGCCCTAGCTCCACTGACATCAGTTTGAGCCACTTCTTTGTCCCAACTCTTACTGAAAGTCAACGACACCTGACTGCCCTTTGTGCTTTTGAATATCTTCTCAGTTAATGACAGCAGTAAACTTCATGGGCCACCTGCCGAGCCATTATTTCCTTTGTGTTTCTGTCTGTTTTGTTGTATGGCCAGATTCGGATAACCGAGTCGTGCTTTATTGAGGGTGACCATATAACCCATTTTGGCCCAGACAGACACTTTTTTAAGCCCAGTCCCAGCCATTCCAACTTTTTCATTTGCAAAAGAGGGCATTTGTCCCATTTGCTCTTGGCTGACTCAATCAATTTTTGACTCTTGTCAAAAAGTGGCTGCACCATGGAAGAAGATGGGAGGGGGGAGAGACAAGCAGAGATGCCGGTGCTACACACGGGAGAGACCATGTTCCACCAGTTGGGGAGCTAGCAGGCTTCCAGTCAGGGGAACCAACAGCCTTGCTGGACCCCTGGGAAAAGTGTGTGGGGGGGAGGGGCGGGGGGTAGGGCGCTGTGCTCCTAGAAGAGACAGGGCCTCAAGCAGAAGAGCAAAGGCCGGGGGCAGCAAGCCCTCAATGACGCCAAGACTGTGGTACACCCTTCCTCAATGGTGCTTGGATTACGCCATTCTCCAGCGCTGTTTTATAGGTGTTCCTTTGTCTCCCACCTTACACTTTCGGTGGGCTTGCATCCAGTGATTGGGCGACAACCTGACACGGGGTGGGAGATCTCAGGACTTTTGGGACATCACCAGCTTTATGCTGCCAGAAATCCTATTGACTTGAACAGGATTTCTCACAGAGCAATGTACTCCTCAACATGGGTGAGTGTATTGGAATGTGGCCCGCTAGTAGATCATCAGTTGCACCTGAACTGGAAAGAAACCGTCACCTCCTTTTCTATTCACACCAACGGACTCTCCAGGTAGCTTCTCTGACAAAGTCTTGGGACTCACAATGGTAGGATTAAGCTAGGGCTGTTCCTCTAACGACGTGGCTTTGTAAGTGAAAGAATGTTGCAGGATCACTTTAGTTCTGTCGGTTTGAATTCCAGCACTGGTTAGCCATCCCTCGAATACAGCCATATTAACTTCCTACTCCTAATCCACGAGTAGGAAGTTAATATGTAACTGAAAGAGTGCTTCAGACGACATTCTTATCACTCAGTCTCATAAAGTGCTGAATATGATGGGGAAGATTCCACTGAAGAGAATGTTTCTGAGGCAACTGTAAAACCTACAGAATCCTTTTTTGTGGAAATGCATCTTTTTTCACTTAAAATAAATGCTGCAAAATACATTCAAGCTAGCAAATCCTTGAATCTTTTTTTTTTTAAATTTCATTCTGAACTTTATTTTCCTTTCCCTTAAAGAACTGAGATTAATAATAAGGAAACTCAGAGCTATTTGTCAATATTTAATCTGGATAAATCACATTCACATTATGAAACGCTGGCACTGATTCTGGGTGTCACTGAAATTGGGGCCAAATTCAATAAAAGACTTAGTGTCTCATGCCTGTATGTTAAGTGGTGAGGGTTCTGAATGAGTCATGACAGTACATGTATTTACATTTGAAAATCTCAGCTAAGATGTGAAGCTATGGGGAAGTTATCCAACAAAGGAGGGAAAATGTTACTTTCCAGTAAGATGAAGAGCCTGTATGAAACATCATTTCAAATCGCCACTATCTGTAACAGAGGTAAACAGAGCTGAGTGTCGTCAAACATTGCACTCCTCATTAAATCCAAACGATCCTCATTTCCATAGAAATTCTTAACTGCTTTTACTAGTTTCATTTGCATACTGCTGCAGATATTACAAGCAAGCATGTTTGCTTTAGCTTGCTATATTGCTAACCATGAAAATTTTACAATATGAACATTTCCAATGTCAACAGACCTTTAGGAAATGAAGTTATGCTGTAAAGGATAATATGGAGAAAGCTTCTTATTTATCTTTTTCTCACATAGCTCTAAATAAACAGGTGTTCACATTAGGGGCGGGGAAGGGCAGTTAAAAGGCCTGAGTTTATATTGTTTGTTAACCCAGTGCCGAGTGTGCTAAAGGAAATTGGCTGAAGCACTTGGCCAACTTTGACATGGATGCGCTGACTAAAATATATTGCTGCTAAAATAGAACCCAACAGAGTTAGTATTAAAGACTGTGCTAAGGGCTTAATGCAACTTTAGTATCACAGCCTGGTATTCCAGCATCTCCACTGCGTTTTGTAGGTCCAAATCCAACCATCCATAACCTAGACTTCCCAGCACCCTCCCCACTAACCCTTAGTTCATGGTGCAGGACGGAGAAACTTTGTTCACAAAACTTGATTGTGCTAAGGACAAAGAAGGCCAGCTTCTGGGATTATAGGGTACTTTTGGTGGACTCCTGGAGCATGAATCTTGTGGGCTGCATCTACATTGCAAAGCAATAAAGTATCAGCTTGATGGAGGCTTAGATTCTGCACCACAGTGGGGTTCCGAGAACGTAGGCCCAAGCTCTGGGTTAACATGATGTGTGTGTAGATGGGAAAGTTTGAAACCGAACGGTAGTTATCCTGGTTCGGTAGGTCAGTTACCAAAGTTCAAGGTATGGATGAGGTGACGTGCAAAGGGGAAAAAATGCCCTTTGCCTCTTTATGATGGATAAAGAAGATCTGTAAGGTTGGCTAATATTAAAGGGAGCAGAAGTGTTCTATGTGTTTTTCCCTTAGGGTGTGTCTAGACTACATGCCTCCTTCGACGGAGGCATGTAGATTAGCCAGATCGGAAGAGGGAAATGAAGCCGTGATTAAAATAATCGCGGCTTCATTTAAATTTAAATGGCTGGCGCGGGCCGGCCGCCCAGCGCTTTTTGGCGGGCG